CATTCTCAACAGGTACAAAGACCGAAATACCCCTTCACTAACATATGAGAATGTCCTTTTGTTTCTTAAATTACTATTGCTGGTTAATACAATTTAAAATGCAAGTTGGCAATTTAGCAAATTGATTATTTTGATTTTCTTTCTGGAGCTTTCAAGTCGGTGTGGCTTTATTGTTGTTCACTTTATGGTTTTTGTCATTTAATTTAGTTTCTTTATAATTTTATGTTTTCCATACTAAAAGTCTACATTGGGAGACCTTGATTGACAACTGATTATTCTTCAGGTAAAAGAAGGGTTTGGTGTCTTTATCCTAACAAGAATGCAGCTACCAAATCAGTTCATGATATCTTTTCTCATAGTTCAGCAAATTTAGAAGGCCAGTCACCACTGGTACGTTATGATATGTTGAGTCATGCTAGTTTTCTCATCATAAAGTCATGGTACCGAATGCCATTTTTTTCAACTTCCATGTTTTTAGTGATATATTATTTGAACTTGTAAATTTTGTATTTTTTTTTTGTGGGGAAAGAAAGAGCATAGCATAAGATTGAGAACTGAATACATCAATGCATAACAGTCTTACTGCTGCACTCTAGATCCTGGAGATGAAAAATTTGTTTTTTATATCAGTGTTTGTTGAGGCAGGGTAGTCTTTATGAGTTGTATACATCACTGGATATTAAAATGATTATGTATGAATGTGCATATTTTATCTTAACAGAAGGTTTTTGGGAAGTAATGTATGATGGCATTTCTTCTGATGCTCAACTTAACTAAATAAAGCCTAATCTCAACCATATGGGGTCAGCCACATGGATCCTGTTTTACCATCACACTTTTTCTAGGGCCGTATCCGTTGTTAAATTGTGAGCCCTGAAATCATTTCTTACAACCTCAACCCATGTTCTTTGGGCATGCCTCTATCTCTTTTAGACCCTTTGTCCCGCATAAAACCCTTTCTTCTTTGGTTGATATGGACATAAATTAATAGGCCCGACAATGGGTCCTTGGCCTAGGATACAGTGATTTGTTATTCCTGCTAGGATCTGAAGTTAACCTTAGTAGGTCACCTTAACAGCATAAATAAAAAGTGAAATGAACCTTTGTTTTGAATTCATGAAATCTCTTTGTGCAAGTGCCTTTGCCTTTTCTTACTTCGAAATCTCTTACTTCTTTCAGTTCCATGGCATAGTAACTTTCATGTTGGTTCCAAGCACAGATGAAAGAAGATGAGCCTTTGAACTTTGTGCTTATAGATGGTACATGGAGCAACTCAGCTGCAATGTTCAGCCGTTTGAAGGTACGATGTAAACACTTCTGCTAGTGTATTAAAAGGCAAAGTCATTAGGCCCAGCATCAAGAATAAACCTTGATGCAATAAATTCATTTAATATTTCTTATATTCATAAAAAATAATAAACCTTGATGCATCATTTCCTCATATGTCAATTATCAAAATAAACATTTTATTCCAATGGGATAAGCTGAAAAGGCGTAGAGAAAGCTTGAAGAAGTTACTGAAATATTCTATTACATATATTTCTTTGTGCATGCTTGAAGAAATGCATCACTTATTTTCCAATGCAAATATTTATTTAAAAAAGGACATTGTAGAAAATTTTGAAGAATTGCAGGTCATTAATAAATATCAAATGATAATCACATATCATTATGTTGATATAAATTATAAACAAGCTGTTGTGGAAAAGCCATAGAAAACCATATGGCAGATCAGCAACTCTTCAGCTTCAAGGCCTTGAAATAAGGTAAAGTACAGTCTAAAAGAGTCGAACTTTTTGTTTTTATACATGACAATTGAAGTAATTCAAACAAGTAAGTGAAGGAGAGGAAAAATTTGAATAGAAAATACTCACGAAAAGAAAGAAAAACTCTCCACTGAAATACTTAGCCCCCAAACTGCAACAAGGATGGAGCCCCAATGTGCTCCTTCCTGGCTAACAGACCATCAGCTAGCTGATTGGCTGATCTCAAGATCAAGCAGAATGAGGTGTTCCCACCAGCCAATTGTACTCCTCAACCAACTTGCAACCACTTGTAGATCTCTCTCCCTCCCCCTAGACACTATAAAATCCAAGATGGAGATGTGAACCACTAAAATTGACATCCACTCAACTTTAATGGAATCACCATTACCAGCAGGACCAAGGCAAACCTGTAAAACCTTTCTTCATAGTCCTGAAAACACCACCTACTCTTGAAAGTCCTGGATTACTCAAGAAAAGTTTTAAGTTCCAAACCAGGTCTTTGAAAATCTCTCAAACCTTTATAAGGATTGACAAGGTATTAATTTCCAATCTAAAGATGCTCTATGGGCTGTATATGCTATTTATACATCATACATACAAAGGGTGGACCATGTAGGCCTTGTAAATGGGATTTTCGTCCATCTTATTTGATTATGTAATAGAAGTACATTGTCTATCAAGGAAAAAATGCTAGAGAAATAAATGTCAGAAAAGAAAAGCCTGACATGAAGGCCTCTTTCATGTGTAGTTCACCAAACTTCACATGGGGCATGGATTTCTAATGGTGTACCTTATGACATTTTTCTTGCCCCTCACCATGAGGCAAGCCTTGGATACCTATTAAAATGCTGAGGAACCTAATATACATCAAAGAGAAACTCCATGGCTAGGCAGTAATGGCAGGAGAAAGGATTTTTTGGATCCTGCATCCTGATTCTAGATCCTCATCACATTCTTATTCTTTATTCATAAAAAATGTCCATCCCCAATAAAAGGACTTATTTGGGCTTTGAACTAATTTTTACATGGTGGCTTTTATTAATTTTTTGATAATAAAATAAAAATTCATTAAAAACGAAAAAGAAAGTAAAGGGGGAAGGTGATGAGAAATCCCCCGAGAGAAGAAAGAACAACCCAACAACAGATGCAATACACAAGTTGAACACAAGACTCACATAAACAGACATGACTTGGAGAAACAACTCTCATCCACACTAACACAGAAAGCAAACAAATCAACTCCAACAAGACCACTCAAAGACAGGATAATTCCTCCCCGTTGAGCTCTTCCTGACCTCCTTTGGTCCACTTCTCTCCCTCTTCCTTAGAATGGACTTTTTACATGTCTCCTCCCTACTTCTTTTCTCAAATTCTTCGAAGGCTCTTTTAGCAAAGGCCTCACTTCCCAAAATAATCCCAAACTCTTACCAATCTCCACATCCCCATCTGCAAGTATCTTCACATCCAAACCTCCTTCACGTTTTCCTTCCAAAAGCTAGCCAACCTCCACTCCCTCGTCCACAATAAAATTAATGCTCACACCACCTGACTTCCTTTCTCCCATTCCTTGAACCAAACAGCCATCTCTTCCCAAAGCCTCATTCGTTCCCTCCTTTTCCTTGTCCCCAGAAACCAAACTCCTTTACCCCTCCTCTTCAAATTGATTCTTAGCACACGCTTTCTTGTCGCTATTTCCATGCGAGGCTAGCTCCTCCTCAGCCTCACCCCTTTGACATGAATTCTTCAATTTTCTCCCCTTTCTCTTATATAATCTCTTATATTTCTCTTCCCAAACTAAAGGTCTCAGGGTCTTGTCTTAGTTAATCCGAAAATAGGGTCTTGTCCAATCTTTTGTATATTGGTCTACGTGTCTCCATATGCAGTCAAGTTGCACAGGGACCTGAGAAAAAACATAACATGATAGATCCCTGCAATACTAAAATGAGGAAGAACAGTCAATAGTTTTTTCAGTTGATTGTTTCAGACAACCTGCCACATTTTGCTACAGAGAAATGCTGCTAGTGACAAGATTTACCCACAGAAGTAGTTTGCACACAGGAGCATGCGAAGTTAATCTGGGAAGAGGAAGACATCCCCTGCATTTCTCTGGCCTTGCCAGGCGTGTCTGCGATGCATAAACTTCGGTAAGTTGCAAGTCGAAATCCCTCTCTCTCTCCTGCAAATTTCTGTCTTCATGTTTTTTTTTTTTTCTTACAACTTAAAACATTATGAAGCAGGCCCCAACCATCATGGGATCGTACCTGTACAGCAGCAGCAGCCATCGGCCTTCTATCAGAATTGCACTTGCTTAATCAGTTTAGTTCACATGGCCTAGACAAACAGGCAGCAGCACTTGAGGATGCCTTGGAGGTCTTATTGGAAGCCCTTACAACTCGGCGTCTTCGTATGGGCAGGTCCATTACTCGTAAAGATAGGCACAACAGCAATATCAGATAGCAGATTGGCTGTAACCGCCATCTAAGGGATGATTCAATTGGGTTGATGCTCCGGTGAGTCTTGTCATCGGGGGCTTTGGCCCTCCCCTGAATTGCTATGAGCAGATCCTTGGATATACCCAAATAAAATGGAAAAAAGGAAGAAAAATTCTATTCATACCTCACACTGATGAGTATTAGCTTTGGCAGTTGCCCTAATTAGTTTAAACCGCAGCTAACTTGCATAAACAATTTCTTACTCCAAACTGAACATGGTCACTTTTTGAAAATATTGATATCAAGAATGGCAATATAAATGCCATTCATCATCATCATTTAAGCCTTGTCCCAACTATATGGGGTCGGCTGCATGAATCCTGTTTTGTAATCCCATTTTATTTAGTGCCATATCCAATTGTTAATTACGGGTGCTTAAATCATTTGTTACTACTTTCTGTCTAACCCTAGTTTTTTTAATCTCCGAGACTCCCAACTGAAGAATACAACTCACTGGGGAGTAGTTTTATTCGATTGGTCTTCCGCTTATGATCTACTGCAAGTCTGTGTTTTATTCGATTGGTCTTCCGCTTATGATCTACTGCAAGTCTGCAACTTCTCTCCAGGCCTATGGAATAGATAACTATTATGATGTAAGTAGATTAGTCTTGCTTTAAAATCAATGCATCTGAAAATTCGTTATATATTCAATATTTCAAAGAGCGAAAACTATATTTAGGTTTAGAAGTGTTTACATGGATGAGTTCCATCTCTTGTGATAGGGTAGGACTGTAGGAGTAGGATGCGAATGGCTCACATTTACCACGCGTGAGCAATGGTTAAAAACATTCCGAAGTTCTAACTCTTGGTATTTAGCATTTTGCTAGGTTCAAAAACTTGTGTATTGTATGACATCCATCAATCCCAAATCTACATAGCAACCAATCGGGACTTTGGTTTAGGGATTTACTTGGACAATGAGTCCCTAGAAATCTTTTGGGTGGGTTGGGAAGGGGGTTATTTAGATGTATCTATTTATGACAAACGAGCCAATTGGGGGATGGTTCACTTGGTACGTTAGCTGGTTCATGCCAGTAGAGACGGGGATTAGAATCCCTATCGAACAAAAAAATGTATGACAAATGGCTTACACTCCTATTGTCAAACAAAAATCACTTGATCATAATTGATGAGTGGTGATTTGGTCTTTTAATGATATCACGACACATGGTGGTACTATAGAACTATCCACCGACATCTCGGTGCCATGCAAACAGAGCTCGGACACCTGCCATTTGCTTCAATGTCCTCATCCCCACCTCGGTAGGATGGCCTATGGACAGCTCGGGAGATGTCAAGTCAGCATAAAGAGGCAATCTGCCTCCGCTGACCTAGCCCAGATCTAATTAGTGACTTGCCCGATGTCGCGAGCAAATTCCTTCTCAAGTAGGTAACTTTCTCCGATTCCCTAGGGATCAAGAGGACACGTTGACGGGGCTGATCTCAGTCCTGCCCACCTCAGACAAGACCAGATAAGCATTGTCAGCTTACACAAAGTCCGTCTTTGGGCGTGGAACCACCTCCAAATCTAATGGGTCGGAGATCTCAGACACGTTTTGTGGAGCTCACGACAGCTTGCCTATATAAAGGCGTCCCAACAACCAGAAAAGGTATTCACGATTTAGCTCTCTAGCACTCTAGCTCTCTTGCTTTATTACAATTGAATACCGGTTCACTAACTTAAGCATTGGAGTGCCCACCTCGGGTCAAGAAACCCAGACACTCTGATATCTATCTTCTTGTAGTTCGGCTACACGACCTACCTAATCCGACGTCCGAGCTGCCCACCTGTAGGGAGTGTCAAATCACGCTACATCAATTGGCACCATATGTGGGAACACATTACACAAAGCTGAGTTTTCACCTTCTTACTAAGATTTCGACCTAATGGCATCCACATGCAACAACCCTATCAATAACGCTAACAACAACAATGCATGTGTTGACATAGCAGTCACAAGGGACAGGACTAGTCCGCCATGCACATTGAGTTCCCCTCGTTCACTGTGCCCTAACCCTACCATGCGTTCCTATCATGCAAAATCCCAACCTCCCTCTGCCTACCATGAATGCGCCTCTTCTAGTGGTTGAGTTTTTTGTGGTTCCCATTGGGATTGGTGGCTGCCAGTTTCACGAGCTGGTGTAGTTTGTTCGCAGGGTAGACCTATAGATGAGAACATGGGAGGGCCGTTTCGCAGCAATGGTCGGGATGCAACAACAACAACAACAAGCCATCATATAGAACGTGAACCAAAATCAGCAACCCGATGACTAGAACCAGAACTAGGTACTAAACCCACCTTGCCGTTACGATGATCAAAGTCAGGTTCCCGCCATGGAATCAACTCAAGTTGTGACGTCTGAGGCCACCAACTCCACTGAGGGGTCTAGGAGAAGACATCGCAGACATACACGCCACCATGTAGGAAGGAGCCACCTCATCCTGAATGAGAATGAGAAGGCAAAGAAGGAAGAAGAAAAGGAAGCGAGCTAGATTGCCACCTCGTCAACACAGCCAATGATCCACACTTCACCACTGGCCCCCGAGATCTTCATGGCTCCATGGCTTAAGAATTTCAAGGCCCCTAGCTTGGAGTCCTATGACAGAACAATTGACCCGGTTGACCACCTCGATAGATTCTAGGCCTTGATGTAGCTTCATGGGAACAGTGACATGAGCCTATGCATGGCCTTTTTGACCACTTTCTGGGGCAAAACTCGGATGTGGTATTTGGGATTGGTCGTGGACTCAATGAAGAGTTGGAGCCAGTTTGCCGATCTCCTCACCACCCACTTCGAGATGAGAAAGCAGTGTCCGAAGTCAGCGACCTACCTCCTAAATGTGGTATAGCGACCTGATAAGAAGCTTTGGGATTTCATCAAGAGTTTCAACCTGGAGCGATTATAGATCTCGAACCTCGACCCGACCGTCCAACTCACCGTGGCAGTTAACGTCGCCAACACCCTAACTTGTGTTGGGAGGTCAAGTTGAACCCTCCAGTCTCTATGGAGGAGTTCCTCAACCAAGCTGCTAAGTTCACAAAGGTCGAAGAAGTGCTTGGGTCTTAGTTAGAGATGAGCGGAAAGTAGAAAAGATCAGAGGATGAGTTGGGGAACAACAAACAGAGAAAGAAGAGTAGATCGCTGAGGCATAGCAAGTCCCCATGCAATCGACAAAGTTCCCCATACCGGAGTAGTAGATCTTCAGGCTGACGTTCTCACACCCCTCCCGTTTAGAACCGGAGCTACACCACACTAAATGCGAAGAGAGGGAAAATCCTAATGCAGATAAAGACAACCGAGTACGTCAGATGGTCACCTTGGATGAGAGGGAACCCCGCCAATAGGAACCTTAAACAAGTACTACCACTTCCACTGGGACATCAGCCACGATACAAAGAATTTTCGTAACCTCAAGGATGAGATCAATGAGTTGATCCACCGAGGTTACTTGAAATTCATCAAGCAGGAAGATTGAAATTGACCTTCTAAACAGCTACGAGAAGTGCCATAGTTGAGCAGGGACCAGAACAGGGACCAGCCTCCACGAGACCCACCAACATCAGAGTGGCCTATCTGTGGTGTAATCAACATGATCACGGGAGAACCTGTCAAAGCGTCCTCGTGTGGAGGAAGTTATCTACTTCACCATCGAAGCGCCCGCATGGTGACACCCTCGTGGTCAAATTAATGATAAACGACTTCGAGGTAAAGTGGATTCTGGTTGACTTTGACATCTCGGTAGACATCATCTTTCTGGAGGCATTCGAGCAGATGGGGCTGGAGAGGAAGGACCTACTCTCAGGCCAAATTAAGTTTCTAGTGACAGCAGGCTCAACTCCGAACTAGGTGCACTTTGACTATGACTTCTTAGTGGTCACAACTCCCTCGCCCTACAATGCCATCTTGGTCTGATTGATCCTACACTCCCTCAGAGCAGTAGTGCCAACCTACCATATGTTGACGAAATTTCTGATAGATTATGGAGTTGGAGTGGTGTGAGGTGACTAGCTCGAGTCTCGTAAGTGCTACGTTGCAGCGCTGAAAGGGAAAGGTAAGCAGGCTGTTGACGTTGACTTGGAGCCGCCCCCAGAGAATGGTGACGAGAAAGCTTGCCCCATGGAGGACACCATCCTGGTGCTGGTCTCAGACACCAACCCCATGAAGACAGTGTAGATCAGAAACTACCTCAAGGAGCCACTATGATATGAATTGGTAAGTTTTTTAATTCAGAATTAAGATGTTTTCACTTGGTCGACAACAGAAATGCCTGGAATAGACCCCTCTATCATAACTTATAGGTTGAATGTTGACCCTTTAGTCAGACCAATCTGATAGAGGAAAAGGAACCTTGCCTAGGAGTGGTGGAGGATAGTGGACAAGGAGGTAGGGAAACTCCTCGCAACAGACTTCGTTAGAGAGATCCAATACCCAAGCTGTATTGAAAAGCCAGTGCTCATGAAGAAGGCCAATGTCAAGTGGCGCATGTGCATTGACTACACAATCCTTAATAGAGCCTACCCAAAGGACAACTTCCCACTCCTTAGGATATATCACTTGGTAGATGTGACTTCGGAGTTTGAGCTATTGAGATTTATGGATGCTTAGTCTAGCTACAACCAAATATAGATGGATCCAACCAACTAGGGTAAAACAACTTTTGTAACCAAAACGAGCTTGTATTGTTACAAAGTTATGTCTTTTGGTTTTAAAAATGCTGGGGCGACCTACTAGCGCTTTGTAAACAAAATATTTTTTGATTTGAATGGAAATAAAGTAGAAGTTTATGTTGATGATATGGATGTTAAAACCCAATTTTTGAGCTCTTTAATTTTTGACCTAAACTGTGCTTTTGATATTCTAAGAAAATATAACATGAAGCTCAACCCGAATAAGTGCATCTTTGGAGTCACGTCGGGCAAGTTCCTCGGGTACATAGTGAACCAAAATGGCATCGAAACCAACCCAGATAAAATCCAAGCCATCCTAGATATGAGACCCCCTAGGTTGAATAAATAAGTTCAAAGGCTAATAGGTCGGATAGCTGCCCTGAACCGGTTTATGTCCAAGTTGGTTGGGTGATGTCTTCTGTTCTGCAAAGCCATTAAAAAGAATCAAGACTTTGAGTGGACCAAAGAGTGACAGCTCACGTTTGATGAGCTGAAAATGTACTTGAGTTCACCGCCCTTGCTAATTAAGCCAAAACCCAAAGACAAGCTAAAACTCTACCTCTTTGCGAGTGATGAGTTAATCAACTCAGTCTTAATCTATGAAGTGGACCGAGTGCAGTGACTT